TGTGGAAAAGGAAACAATTTAACTGAGTATGTAAATATGGTAAGGTCTTATATTGTTTGATGTGTGCTAATATAATTTTAAGATTAGTTCAAGCATATCTGAAGCTCATACAGTACCAATGCAGATGTTGGTAATAATGTACTGGAATATGTATTCAGTTCTATGAACTTGTCGCATGCGACTCAAAGAGTGGTTAGTTCTAAAAATTGGGTCGTTTCATTCTGGAAAAGGAAATAATTTAACTGAATATGTAAATATGGTAAGGTCTTATATTGTTTGATGTGTGCTATATAATCTGTGTACTGGAGTTTGTAGCTTATTGTAAAATGGGTTCTTACAATAAACAACATACGCAGTGTGATCCCACAAGTGGGGTCTGGGAATGGGTTCTTACAATAAGTAGTTTCTGTTATCTGTTTTTTTTGGGAACTGTGAGTTTTTTTGGGATATGAGTCTTTTAACTATCAGAAATACTTAAAAAGAGATAAAAGGAAATTTACTAAGATAAGCTCATTACAAAAAAGGATTGTGAGAAACTTTCTACTTGCTGACCATTGTATTGCGTTCTGTCCTGTGTCTAAAAGCTGCTTCTTTTCCGATATTAACAAGCTAGATTCATTTGGATGGTCAAGTAAACTTGAAATCTAGTGCTTCTCCCATCGTCTTTTTCTTCCCCCCCTATTTAATTGAAAGCAAAGAGGGTAGGATGATGTCTGAGTATGTGCCTTCATAAGCATACATGTTTCTCATGTTAGAATGCCTTCTTTTTTGTCTTTGCTTTCCTTGAAGGTGCAATTTGATTGCCCCTGATGTTATATATAGTATTCAGCCTCAAGTGAGATTGGTGAGCTTAGTCTTGGTAGCTTCTTGATTCATAACATAGTAAGAAGCTTCATCCGTGGAAAATAAAGTATAAGTGAACCTCTACTTGTAAAAGGGAAGAAGAGAAATTAACTTGCTTTTAGCTTCTTGATTCATTACAGAGTAAGCAGGGTGGATCTAATGTATAAGTTATAGGTTCATCCAAACCCAGTAGCTTTGAATCGTGCTATGTAATTATTTACTGGATAATTAAACATATGTACAGGATCCCGACCTCAAACCCATAATGTGTAAATCCTGGATCCACTCTTGAGTGTAAAGAGATGGATAGATAGATAGAGAGAAACAGAAGCATGTGAACCTTTTTTTTGTGCTGATGATCCTTATGAATATACTGGATTATGTCAGTCCAGAATATTCATAAGAATCATCAGCACAAATTTTTGGGCTGGAAGACAAAAAGTGAGTTTTACATCAAGAGAAAACAAAATAACAAAAATACAATCCTTGTTCTTCTTACAATGAGTTTTAAATGAAGCAAGTGAACTTTTATGTTTTAAAAAATGAAAATTAACTTATCGGTAGCTGTAAGGAGATTTAGATGGAGGATGCTCATGGGCAGATATATGAAATGGTGATGCCTATTAATGCTATCACACTGTTAGTTGTATTATTAGATGCTCGTATCTTTGTCCTAGCACCAGTATGAGGGAGCATGTCTTCCTTGGAACAGACGGTCTTCATTAGTCCCATGTTGGAATATCTAAAAGGATAGGACTAATCATCCCCTATAGAAAGGGGGAAGAAAGGGACTAAGATGGTTTGGACATGTGAAGAGACGGAGTGCAGACGCCCCAGTGAGGAGGTGCGAGGTAATGGTGGTAGAGGGTACGCGGAGGGGTAGAGGTAGACCCAAGAAGTATTGGGAAGAGGTGATTAGACAAGACTTGGCTATGCTTCACATCACCGAGGACATGACTCTAGATAGGAAGGAGTGGAGGTCGCGTATTAAGGTTGAAGGTTAGTAGGGTTAGCGGGTTGTCTTCCCTTGCGAGGGTTTGGGTTGTTAGCGTTTGGAGCAGTCCTAGCCTTTTGCTGTTTACTGCATTTCACTCCCTATATCTTTCTTGTTATTGTCTCATTGGTTGATTATACGCTATCTTTTGTATTGGCTGTTATGTTGCATATATCTCTCCTGTCACTTAGATTTGATATTCTTGAGCTGAGGGTCTCTTGGAAACAGCCTCTCTACCTCCACGAGGTAGTGGCAAGGTCTGCGTACTACTTACCCTCCCCAGACCCCACCTAGTGGGATTTCACTGGGTTGTTGTTGTTGTTGTACACGTCCCTTAAGAAAACATCAATTAGGAAGAGTTTTTGACTATTTTACCCTCATATATTGTCTTAAGATATAATCTCTTCATTAAATATTTATTCTATTGAGGAGTCTGAAGTCTTTAAGAATAACTACTACTAAGGAATGGAAAAAAGATAAAATTAATTTTATCTTGAACTTCTAAAATGACAAATAATTTGAGATAAAAAGTATTTTTAGAAATTACGATAGATAATTTGAGACGGAGGGAGTATATATTAAATTCATGATGTTGGAATGCATTGAATAGTAACTCCAAGTGAAATTTGCAGTATGACCGATGACGTAAACATTATCAATCTGCATCTTGGACTTCTGTGGCATGGCTTAATCTTACCGGTGTGTTCTTTATGAATCTCAGGGCATTGGACAGACAAGGAATATCCCTACATCAGAATCAGAAAGACTTGCAACACACTCATCCAGAGTGTCAAAATCTAATTTTCACTGCAGGTCTTTTCTCTTGATCATTTTATATTTTTTAACTTATCTACTTTTATTGAGAAGCTTTCAAAAGAAAGCAGTTGCCTATAAATTTTAATTCTGAATATACTAGAGAAAATAATGAAGGTAGTACTCATCTTTTATGATCACTGATATTCTTCTTTGATCTCCAGTGACATCCACATTACCAGAAACATATCATGCCCTGTCTCGCCAATCGGTAGCCCTCTTTTAAATCCAAGGTCACCTCAACACCTAAACGGGAGGCTGTCTCCCTCACCCATATCAAGTCCTATCACCATGTCTGGCTCATCAACACCACTCTCTGGAGGGACTGGTGCTATTCCATTTCATCATCTTAATCAGTCAGTTTACTTACAGGAGGCAGCACCACTTCCACAGAGTCCTTACATGAATAGCCTTTACTGGGATCCTGATGTTTTACGAGGGCCACCATCAGGATCTCATGCTTTCCGGGAATTGGCATCCTCTCAAAATGATTCTCTTGGAAAGCAGTTTGGGAGGACTACAGGAGGAGAGCTTTATGATGGGCAGTCAGTGCTGGCCAATCGGGTATCACAGCAACTCTTAAGGGATCATGTGAAATTGGTTCCTTCACTAGATCTAAACCCTTGTCCTCCTTTGGAAGGTCGGACAGGTGAAGCATGATTTTTTCTCTGTCAAATACAACATTCATGGGAGACTTTCCAGTTTCATAGTTTACTATCAGTGTATGTTGGTAACTTTGAAGGAAGCTGATTTGCACAATAAGGATCCACCGGGGGAAAAACTAGGAAATAAAATAGCATCTTCTTGAGCAGAACTTTATCCATTGTCGAGATCAACCAGCTGATGTTATTACCTCCGTCCTCCCTTGGGTCTAGTGTTACAAAGATGAAGCTTACTTCCCAGTGAATCTTTTGACTTTCATTGTAGCATCTGTGGACAGTGAAGCAGTTTGTAAAGTGTTGAGTGCCTTAGATCAGATTTGATGACCGAATGCGAGCCGTGAAAGGGGAGACTAGCTTCAAGTGATTCAATGTATAGCTGATCCTTCAACATGACATTTGTGGTACCAAACTTGTATATTTATGCTGTCCCATAGAAGAGAGAACAAAAGAAGCAAGCGTGGAAATTAAATAGGATTAGGGCCCTTTATTCTTCCTCCTCTTCCCCCTTTGTGGACAGGAGGTTGGGGTTTGTTGTACAGTAAACAATGAACTGAAAATATTGCTGATTAAACAAGATCAGAGATGACAGCACATTTCTTATCAACAATTTGACCTTGTGACTTCTGCTGCGTCTTAACTGAGTCAAACTTCAAGTATGTCATAATTCGAAAGACGTTTCCTGCATTTTGACCATGTCTATGGGTTCTAATAAATTCCTCATTAACAGGTCGTTTGGTTGGAAACAAGAGTTATTAAGTGTGAAATAAATAATTTCAGATTGCCTAGTACCTCCAACCAAACGTAGGATAAAATAGTTCTTAGATTATTCTTTCTTATACCTCACACCGAAGAGTATATTAGTTTCCATTCCCTTATAAGTGATATGTTAGCCTTTTTAATTTGTACCAAAATAGGTAAACTATCAAGAAAGGTATTCAAAATTACCCTTGTAAAAGAGATTTCAAAAAAAAAAAAAAAAA